CGAACGAACACATCTTAGTTCGTGTTCGGCTCGTTAACTTATCGAACAAAATTAACGAGCCGAACACGAGTTGTTCGCGAACAACGAGCCGTTTTGACAGCACTATATTTATGAAAGTGTCTTTATGAAGGAATTGGTACATATTTTGTGAAAGTGAGTTCTTTCTAACTATCTGGTGTTTATTTATGAATTGTTTTTGCTATTGTATTTTAAATATTATTTTCTATTTATCGACATTTTTTATAATCTCTAAAGTGCTATGTTTAAAACTATAAGAGATTATTTATAAATTTTATTATTAAATATATAATAATTGACCTAATTATAATGTATTTTGATTAAATAAATGTAAAAAGTAAATACTTTAATAAATATCTAAACCTTACTTCCAAAATGGTGTTTTTTACATTTTTCCATTTCATCAATGAGACAATTATTTTATTGGGAGAAGGAGAGAGAAAAAGAAGGCTTCAAGATGAAGCAAATTTATTTTTGAGGTCGTTAGACCAAATTTTGTCTGTCAACATAGTTTGGATAATTGTCTAGCTCTAGACCGGCTAATTTTATCCTTTTTTGAATATCAATTTTATAGCATTTTTTATAAATTTTGGGTATTTTATTTGATATTATTTCAAAAAAATTAAGTTCTAAGTAGGTTTACAAATGTTTCACCACTATATTGTATAATAGATTGCGTTCGATATATTGGCATAGAAAAATATTTTTTTTACAAGATATTTTGTATTGTACAATATTTTATGTATTTGGTAAAAATATTGAACCTCATAAAATTAATTACATGATAATAAAAGTTTCAAAATACTTTTTTGGGCATTACTTATAATTTTTGTGCAATTTTTTATTTTATTTATATTATTTCCCTTATAAATTCAACTATTAGTTTTAAATACCAACCTTTATAAATTTTTGCATGTTTTTTGATAATTTGTATGCATACACGTTACAAAAATAAAATAAAAAATAAAAAAAAAATTGGTAAAATGCATTGGTTGTGTGGTTGGATGGTTGTATGCTATATACATTCAAGTTAAATTATAGTGGGTTTGTGTAATTATACATATACTCAATTACAATTGTGCCTATATAATTATACATATACTCATTTAATACATCTTATCAAATATAAACAAGTGAATATATGATTAGAAGTAGAGATATAAGTTGACAATGAAGAAATATGAATATGTAGATGTATAAGAGAAAGTAGAAGCATAAGGGGTGAATGAAAAATTTAAAAAGATTACAAACAATAAAAAAAAAAATTATTTCATATTATTTTATTTTATTTTTGATATCGAATCGCTCAACATATATCTATTATGGAGATTAATTAGACATGCCACATTATATATTGTCATATTTTTTTAGTTCATTCAAAACAAATGTCTACTTTTTTCACTTTTTGTGTATTAAAAACAACAATAAATTTTGAGTAGGCTACTGAGTTGTGGTTGTTTACCCTTACTTTATTCATATGTGTTATTTCAGAAAAAAGGGTACTTATGTTGCGTGTCGGTTATTGGTTATTGTTTTAGTCGAGTTTAGGTATGTACCTATTTTATATCTATTTTTATAATCTTTGCTATATATATATATATATATATACATTTATTTATTTATTTATATATAAAAATACTATACCACGATCGGTGTATGTACTTTCTTTTATTGTATAGTTGTGATGTGATCTAAATAAGTTTTTTTTTTTCTTTTTAAATATTGATGGTATTAGTGGTTATGCATTTATTAAAATTGAAGAAAATAAATATTTTTTTTTTCCAAAATAGATCTTTGAAAATTATGTAATGAACGTTCTCAATAAGTGACAACCCGATTGATATGATGGGTTGTGTTGGGTCGGGCTGTGATAATTATTTTAGTGATATCATAACAATGAATTTAGATGAATAAATTTATTATTATACATATATGAGTGATATATTTTTTTATAGTTTGAATTACTTTTCTTTTCTATCATTCAACTATATGTTTTAGATTAAGTAATTGCATGTACATGCAGATGAAAGTATTGAAAATTATAAAACTTCAAAGATCATGATGTGATAATTGGCAAAATTTTAGTTAAGTCATGGTGATACATTGCACAATTGAAGTTATAATGTCATATTTTTTGGCATAGTTTTCTAATTTGGCATCTCAATTAAAAAGGTGACGCTCAAAGCATAATATCCATTTCAAGAGAAGAGCAGGGAGATTAACATTTATAATAATTTTTTTGATTGAAGTTATCTCATTTCAAGGAGATGGCAGACCTTAAGTAGTTGAGGACTAGTTATTATAACTAAAGGAGCCATTCAACATTATGTGTTATCTAGAATACTTCTGATAGTAGTTTGCTTGATGGTGAAGCTTATCACTAGTGGCTAAGCCGACAAAGAGAAAGGTTTTATGATAAGTTGAATGCTTATATCACTTGCAAACTAATTTATTGATACTTTTAGAGATTGATTTATACATTCATCAGTTAGATAATAGATGCAAGCATCATTTTTATATTGATTCAATTGATCAAGATGAAAATATAGTATGAGACTGAATTTTTTATACTAGTGATATATGTTTCATAATTAGTCAGTATTGTAAAGAAAAGTGTAAAAGAAAATTTATAGGTCTCAAATTTAAATTGAGGCACTCACTTATTTCATTTAGGATCATGAATTTCAAGGAATTAGGATATGTCGAGATTAATAAAGAATGATTTGATGTTTATATTAGTAATACATGGATGTGAGCCAAAAGAGATTTATAGAAGAGTCTTTTATAAGTTGTGAATAGAAACAAGAACTAGTATGTGTTATATAACTTTCTAAGTGGTTATGCAACTTCTAGAGAGTTTGTTACTCTAGTTTAGCCACAAGTTAGTGTAGTGTCCATAAAATATATTTGAGAGTTTATCAAATGTTTAGTTATATTAGAGATATGATAGGAAATAGAAAATAATCCAACAAAAAGTTTTTAATTAAGAATTATCTTTTATATGTGATGGATATTCACTATAAGGCAAATAAGAGAGTCATATAGAGTGTGTTACTATAGTTATTATTGCTCCAGCTCAACTCAAAGTTTATAATTTGATTTAAGAGAAAGCTAATGTAGTGATGAGTATCGCTTTCTTTTATACATAGTGGTGTAGAATTTTATTTGACTATAAAATAAGTCATTCGTTTATATATGATAGAATTTTTATTGTTTTAGTGTACTTCCTATTGTTTTGTCTTATAGTTTTTTTTTAACCCACTATATACTTTTTATTACTAAGCAAGCTTGTATTTGAATATTATAATATGAGAAAAGTAGTTGGTGTCTTAGTTGATTATATTGTTTTTAATTAAGTTTAAAGTTGTATTGGATTTTGATTGTTTGAGTAGATATGAAGATTATATTTATTATAGCTATAAGAAAATAGTTCTATGTGTTAGTGGTGAAGTATTTTGTTTTAAGGGAGTTAGTGGTGTTTTATTAGCATAGACATTAGCTATCCAAGTTTATAT